GCCACAGACCTAGGCTATCTTTACTTGTCTTTAGGAAACGAGCAAGAGACGCTGATCGGAGGAGCGAATGGTGAAGCAAAGTAAGGGAAACTACAGCATACTATTTATGACGAGTAATGTATAAGAATCAACGGCAAGGTTCACAATCACTGTTACTGAGCCCACAGAAACAGAATTCTAGTTGCTCACATTGGAAGTTTGCATAAATTCTATTAAGGTATTTAAACCAAACCAAAACCAAGAGGATTTTTAAAATAACATTATTGTTCTTCATTCATTCATTCTTGTCACAAGATGTTGCAAATAAATCTGTATGTTCACAGGGTATGGACAGGTTAATGACACCAGTGCTGTAAACATGAAAGATGAAACAAAACCGCAATTATATTTTTCTTTTCTGCATATGGGGTTATCAGAAGAACTATGATCTTATTTGTTCTTAATGCCAACGCTGAGCTGAACTCAAAATCATTCAAAATGATGCTATGACCTAGCTATACTATGGACTAGGATGGCAATAACAGCAAAAATCCCTGAGAAAATCATTGCAACCTTGGGTGACAAAAATAGAGAGAAGCTGTGAACGACCTAATACCCAGAAGTGGCAGTTTAATAGCATGCTTCATTTCTCCCCATAGCCTAAAAAAATACAGACTCTAAAAGGGAATACCAGACTTTTGAGAAGACCCTATATAATTGCACAGGTTGGGTCTTGTCATTAGCCAATTTACTCTTCCTCAGATTTACAGCTCTGGGTGTAACAAAATCTTTGGCACGAGGTGCAGACTTAGGAGATTTTTTTCACCCTTCAAATTAATTTATCTTGTATTCATTGGAAGTCAATTCAGTAGCACTCGCTGAGTTTTAGGTTTCTTTTTGCTGCTGAGAGAGCAGCCTTTTCAGGGTTTTACAACTCAACAAAACACTAAGCACGTGCTTAACATTAAACCTGTGCTGAAGTTTCCTCAAGGTAACTGTGATACAAATGAATGGCTGTTTTGCTTAATATGGATGATCTCTCCACCTCTGAACTGTTTTGTTGCCAGCTGCCACTTACAACTTACAGAGAGATGTTGATTTTATAGGATACGGGTTGGATCATTTTAAACTAATCCCAGCAGAAAGAAAACAGTTCATGGTGATGAGAAGAAAATGCTTGATAATGCCACCTGTGCAAGTTTCTTGGATGGGTGGAAGAAAGTGGGAGAAAAGCCCAAAGTACTCTAGCTAAGAGTGTAGCCATGCAGCATATATTTCACTTCCATAATCATTTATAAAAACACAGCAAAATGAACAGCACTGAGCAGCTTGCGCTCCTATCCTAATGGTATAACCTCTCAGTACTTCATGTGCAATAATACCGCCATGAAAATCAAGCTGTATTACTTCTGCTTCTTTGTACAACACTTTGCATGTCTAAGAGCAGCAAGTGACAACACGTTCTCCAGTAACTGAGATTGATTATTGGTGCTTCAGCACATCCATAATCATGATGCACGCAGCACGGAGAGATGGAATTATTTTCATACACTGCCCTGATTGGTAGAAAAAACTTTTTTTCTAACTGAACTGAATATGTATAGGATGCATGCAATACGCTCTAGAGGAGCGAGTACTGTGCTGGCTGTCAAAAGGTCCCTAGCTATGCTCCTGCCTTGCGTGGCTCTGAGCCAGACAAGTCAGGCGTGCTGCCTGCATTTGCTACTCCTCAGTCACAGCGGTCACCACTACAAAGAACATAAATTTACCAGTGGTTACCACTCTGTAGTATCTGAGATACTATTGTTTTACTATTAACAACAGTGAGAATCTGAAAGAAGCATGAGAATTGAGTGTGGTACATGGCAGAAAGCACGGCCATGATAGGTCTGAATTTTATTTCAGTAACACTGATTTTACAGCTGTTTAACTGTACTGACTTCAAAGAATCGCTGCACATTGCTACTAATGAAGTGACTGTGGAGTGTGGACCTTTGTATCTGCTTACAGCAACGGGAAACTGCAGATTCTTTAGTAGAAAAACTGGTTAGCAATTTTTTCTTTTCTTTTACAGCATATTAGACAATACTCTTTTTTTTTTTCATGCAGTTTCCAAAAATCTCAGAGGACTTAGTATTTTAAAGAAGTCACTGTTATACCATAAAATCCTTGAAGTTATAAAAATATCTGAGATATTAGCATTTCATATTTGGTAACTTTGCAGTTTGGTGAATAGCGTAACTATTTCGAAGTTCGGGTGACTCTTCTAAATCAGGATCATCACATCCTGGTGGAGAAATGGAAGCAAGGATTAATTAATTTCCCTTTGCAAACAGGCACCTCAATAGCCTTTGCTATTCTCCCTGTACTGAGCAATACCATCTAACTGTGGTAGTATTGCAACAACAAAAGTTAGTGCTATAGTAAATCTCATTTGATTAAATGGATAAGGAGTAGTTTGAGGTTGTGGAAATGGACAGTGCACCGTAAACTCCTTAATGATTAAGCAGTGATTAATTAAATACTTTTAAAGGTGAAGTATGGTGACAAATAACTCAGCAACAGAAAAAGCAGTAATATATTTATACCATATCAGATTCTCCTGTATTAGGATTAATACACCAAATCACGGATAGTTGAATAAGCATTTATGTCATCCATTTTCTGGTTATTTCATGTTTCTCTAGATACAAAGC